TTTTTGGAGTATTACGCCAAATTACTATGTGAATTTTAATAACATAGGTACGACTTCTACTTTGACTTTGATTAGATATAATAATTCATTTATACACATTTGTCTGGACTTTAAAAGAGACGGACCTCTGAGTTTGTTTCGGCATTTCTTCTCAGAGTCAGTTAGGAAATGTCGGCCTCAACGTTCGCTTGATAAAATTGACGTGTAAAAGTGCTGCCTTGTAGCCTATTTGTAGAAATAGATTCACTTGTTTCACTATTAAAAAGGGCGAAAGTCTTCATTGAGTTTGATAAATGCCATCGGTGTTACCAAAACTTTGTCACATTTAAAAAACACTGAAATCTTTCACCAAAACACAAAATAAATATTTTCAAAATGACTTTTTAAAATTTTTAAAGTAAGAAGTGTTCACTCACGTGAGGCCAGCCTACGGTAACCGCACAACGGCTTATCTGCCCACTGGGTACGTGAGCAAACCTCTAACGGTATCGCAACAAGAAACCTCGCTGCCTGCCAGCATTGTTGCTTAAACACTGAATTTTCAGTTACTTATTTTTGACAGACTACATTTGAAAAGATTTAACTAAAATTCGAAACTTGAAAAATTTACTTATCGAATTTTTAGTTTTTTTTTATACTACGTGTCAGACAGTGGCAAGAAACACAGCCCACCTGATGGTAAGTGGTTACCGTGGCCTATGAACGCCTGCAACATTTGGGGCAATACATGTAACTTGCCGACCCCTATAAAACCTATTTACGTAACCTATATACCTAAGTAAGTGTAGGATGTTCTGAGTTACACAGATTAATATTGCGATTGCTGAGCAGTTTTGAGTTTTATTACGCGTTGGGTCAAATATTTTAAAATTAGTTTAACCGTTCGATCACTTGTATTGGTTAGTGTACCTACATTTTGTAGTGTCTGCACGGTTGGTGCGGTGGCTGGGCAACCTGCTGCTGCGCAAACTGTCGTGGCTTCAGTTCCCGTACGGAACAACTCTTTGCGTGATCCACAAATTGTTGTTCCGGGCTTGGGTGTCATGTGTATGTGAACTTGTATGTTTGTAAACGCACCCACGGTACAGGAGAAAATCCTAGTGTGGGGCAACGATTTTTTTTTTTAACTCGTCGAGTACCGTCATTATAGACACAATTATAGAACAATAGGTTGCGGTCACCGGTGACCGCTTGGTGTTTGACAGTTTAACTCGTCGAGTACCGGTTTTGCAGACACAATTATAGAACAATAGGTTGCGGTCACCGGTGACCGCTTGGTATTTGACAGTTTAAATTGAAAATTGACATCAGGTTTAGAGTCTTAAAATTGTACCGACTGGCTATAACAACAATATTTTACATCTATAAACCACATACGAAAACAAAATCTTCATAAATATTCTACGTCGTATCAATACAAGGCCTTCGCCCTGCAGTGAGACGATCATAGCTAAAAAAAATGTCTACATTAATAAAATATACATAGGCTACTGTTTACTCGACACGCCGTAAAATTATATATACAGTTTCGAAATACAATTTCCTCATTACTCATTCAAAGAGAATAACAAAAGCCTTGTGACATAATGTAAACTCAGTAAATAGTTACCCAAGTACCTACATTATGTACTTAGTTATTATATTTATTATTTACCCAGTTCAAAGTAAAACTTGGTTAAGTGTGTAAGTCTAGTAGAGAGGGCGATTTTTATTTTGGTTCTGTACCTCTTAATTTTTTTTAAAGGGGGAAAATCATCTAATGACTGCTCCCACTTGGGTGAGGCGGGAGGCAGTGTCAAACTCTTACTGACTAAAAACCACTCCGTTTCTTCTCCTGCACTTAACTGCAGCCCCGGTAACCCGTACGTCATTCGCTGATTTTCCCACCTTAAAAAAAAATAAATAGTAAAGCCAGTAAAGGTACCCAAAAAATATGATTCTTTAAAACATAAAGTTTATTTAAAGCCTGTTGACATATTATAATCTTGCACAATAAGGAACAAATTAAATTAAAAACTTGAACTGAAAAAATACGTGTTTAAAGTTTTAAATTAATGTACCAGACGGAAACTAAAACGTACGGACATTAAAATAAGGAAATTTAGGAAACCACCCTATTGAGCTCTTGTCACTAAGTAGCATGTGCACCGGAATGTTCCTCAAAATTTAGAATTTTTAGCATGCCTGCGAATCGGCAAGCGTTCGATTTTTAAACATTTTTGAGCATACTCATAGAACGGCTCTTAGCGTGCCATTTTAGAGCATATTCTGTTAAATAATGACTGTTTAACCCGTTGAAAATTGTGGAAAATCATCCCTTAAATTGTTCTTACAAAAATAGTCTCTAAACATTGGAAATAAGGTCTATAATGTTGTTAGTGATATGAGATATACGGGAAAAACTATACAATCTCGTTCTGTTTTTCTACTCGTCTGTACCTCTGCCCTAAGAAGGAATATTTTATTATTTTATGGCATACTTATTTAAACAAACAATCCTTGGCAACAATACGCCATTACCCCAAAATTGATACTCTAAAAAATATATCTATTAAACTGTCAAACACCAAGCGGTCACCGGTGACCGCAACCTATTGTTCTATAATTGTGTCTACAAAACCGGTACTCGACGAGTTAAAAATAAAATATATTCTTCGGAAGTAAAAAAGTTTAAAATGTCGAATTTAATCGATTCGATTGTAATCTAAGATCAGTTAGTAATCGATCTGTTTTTCCGCACAATTTGTAGACGGATCTTCTTTCTGTGACCATTTGAATTTGGAATGAAACAAAATGGCTTCCCAATGTAACTTGAAACAACGATAATTTTAACGTGTTGATAGAAATTGAGCTTGATCATGGTCAATTGACTTTTCTGTAATGATTTTGAGAGGTGTGAACAATAATTTCGAAAACTACATGAATTTGAAAAACTATGAAATTATTTGTGAATACTATGTTAAAGATAATTACGTTACCTGACTTCAAGCCGATTCTTTAAGAAGTGAAATACATAACATAACATCACACCTCATATCGTTGAAGAGGTGCACATTACGGCACTTAATGTCACTGTACGTACATAAGACCAAGAAGTTAACAATAGGTAAGATCGCATCAATGTAAACTTATTGTAATTAGATTTAAACATTATTTATACGTAAGTATTTGATAAGTAAAGATGACAGGTACAAATAAATACTAATGAAAGCGCCTTTTTAAAACCCAGAAGTTGCATGATCTGTGACTATTAAATAAGTCAGTAAACAGTAATTGAACCGGTGTCTACATTTCTATGGGAGTTATATAAACATCTAATCATTTATGTATTACATTTAAATATCAAAGACATTTTATCTAGGTACGTTTATCTGTACGAACAGTATTGACTAGTTTATTTCCTAGGTAGACTGTGAGAAAATTGCTAGGTTTTGGCTAGAAATTTATCTTAGTAACTAGCTATTTCTAATCAGCAACTAGATAGACACTTAGCAACATTATACTAACTTAACGCAGTTATGGATTTTTTTATAAGATACTAGTATTCCCGCGGGGTTTCACAAGCTCTCGAGAGCTCTGCTCGGCTCCTATTGAACATAGCATCATGTTTTATAGCCTTCTTCAACAAATGGACTATTCAATGCAAAAAGAATTCGAATCGAAATAGTATTTCCAGTTAAACGCGCTCAAACCAACAAATCAACAAACTTTTCAGTTTTATATATTTCATAAAGATTCTAATAACAACATGCTTAAAATGAGAATAGAAGCTGCTAGGCAACTGTAGTAGACCCAAGAAACAGTAGTAAGAAGTCGTAACTTTCTAAGTTCCCAGAAAATTGCTTCGTAATAGGGGTGATGACAGGGTATGAAAATGAAAAATATAATCAGTCCATAAGTTAGGTAATGAAAAAATATTAGACACGTATTTTTTTATTTTGTCGTATAATAAAACAATACTTATATAAAACGAATCAAAGTTTAGGAGTCGGCGCTAAAACGTCATTTCTACGTGTGAAATGTACATAGAAGTGACGTCACGCGACATTTCAAATCAATATATCGTCGAAATTAATCGTTTCTGTAAGAAAAATAAAAAATACGTGTATAATGATTTAAAATAATCTACCAGACGGACATGAAAATAAAAATTAGGCATCTACCCTATTCTAAATGATCGGAACACGCGTTCAAAAGCATTGACATGGTAAACACAATATTCCATAAATGATCACGTTCATATCACAAACGAGATATTTCTCTAAATATTTCACTCCGAGCCGGTGATTTAAGATTTTACATTGAAAATTCGATTTCTTTTCTCAAACGCCAAACTACACATCAAACGATAATCAACCTTATCAACTTTAAAAATCCTACGTACGTCACTGTAATTCGAATAAAGGCGCCACGTAGCGCGTCTCAAAGCAAATTGTTTCTTATTCTAATATTTACGCATAATATATTCATGAGATTGGTCTTAACTGTCTTAAGATCGTTATGTTGGTATTTTAACTATTTTATAAATTCATATATATTCGACGGTTCCATACAAATCGTCGTATTTCGATATCGAGTAGCCATTGATATATGGTATTATGCTAATTGGTCTAAGCATTTTAACAAAATAGGTGAACAAGTAATTACTACCGACAATCGTAAAGTATCCTAAGTTATTGGGATATCCCCATGTTTGCATACGGCCACAAATATGGACGCATGATGACAGACGCGTATATTTTACGCGTTGATGATGATATACGGACAGACTTCCGAATTTTAAACACGCTGTCGTATCAAATACAAATTTATGAAGTGATTATATCATAAATAGCAATACAAGTCAGAAGCAAGTTGTTAAACCTTTTAAAATTATCGTAGACGACGAAGAATTAACATAACTCGATGATGATTCAGGTGTTGATATTATAAATAGTATTACAAATGTAAAATCTCTCCCACAGGTTGCAAATCCTTTTTCAAGAGGTCCGTGAGAAGGAACCTGACGTACTCCTGCCGAGGAAATAGGAACTGTCCAATCGACCAACACCATAGAAACCAATGCCAGTACTGCAGACTAAGAAAATGTCTCAAAATGGGCATGAGGAGAGAAGGTGAGTCAAAAATATTTTGAGAAAATCTCTAAAGAAACCAGCATGAATATGAAATTGTTTTTGAAATGTGATCAAAATTATAAAGAAATACATACTAACAAAATTGGCAACGTAGATAGATAAGCAACTAACATTCATGCCTATGTTGAGACATTTCATACGCGTTTTAAACTGAAACTTTCTTTTGTTCACCGGTACTTTTTGTCAGTATGTAAGTATTAGGTGATAAGATATCATTTATTATGAATGTGTCTGATTATTTGCTTTTATTTTTGATCTGTTCATGAATGTTCTCACACCGAATTCTTTAAATTTTTCTTTTAGTATATCATTTTCGTTTCTAGTTTGATTTTTTTTCTTTTTGTTTATGCTTCCTTCTTTTATTTAAATTCTACAGTTCCACATTTAATTACTTCACAGAATTAATTTGATTGAATCGTGACCTCAGATTCTGTTACAATTACAACAAAATTATTGGTTGCTACTGACAAATTATATAATACGTCAGTAATATTAGAATGAACTGCGTTCTTAGTACAAAAAGCTCGCTTTAAAGATACATTGATTGTCACAAGTGTAATTAGTGAAATCATTAATCTTGTCGAGTCATTAGTCGAGAGACTGCCCAAGGGCACTGCTCTAAGTAACTGTTGACGATCAATGCTAATATAAAGTTATGGGCCGTAATAGGTTATTATTACGATGGAATTAATATGGCCGGTTATTGTTTTAAAGACAGCACCGTGATTGATGGTATTCAAGAATTCGTGTGACCTCAAACGTTTGAAGAAGTAGAGAAGAATTTCTATAATGGAAAATCTAGTTAATGATTTTTGAAGTTTGTTTGTAGATGGAAAAATACTTTTTTCGCTTTTGTTTACTTAAGTGCGTCGTGTTAATCGTTTTCTGTTTGGTCAAGGCCGTTTTCAAGTGGGAGAACCTTGACGGACTGTCAGCTTTATGACGTGCGACACTATTGCCTTCAATATGAACAGCCCATTCAGTACAACATTGTAGTACATTAACTCATGACGTTACTTTGTAACGAACAATGACATAATGAGCTGGTGTATTTTAATTTCTCAATTTGGTATTGTTTCACATATGAAAGTATCCAAAACTGACTGTCCACATGACCGTTCAAAATATTTCCAGTCCAAAAGTTTACATGTAGTCAAAATTATTTACCTAAACCTCGAAACGGCACAGGTGCACATTTTAAAAGATAACACGCGACCGAAGTAATTTCCTCATGTCATAAAGGAAACGGTCTTCACGGAGGGCACCGAGGTTGAAGAGTTCATAACGTGGACGGAACACCCGCTGAGGCGCTTATTATATCCATATAGAACCCAATGGCACCCGTTTGACGACCTCTCGTATTAAAATTATTATTTTTGTTCTCCAAATTTATTTTTTCTTTGCAAACTATATTGGCAGCTTTAACGACACCTGCCTCTTATATATGGACTTCTATATTGCCATCTATAACATTTACTACCTACCAAATAAGAACCGCCGCTTCATTAGCCTTCTCTGTATCTGCGATTCCTGCAAAACTTTTTACGAGTCCCACCTTTGCGTCATTAGGGTTGCTCCCTTTGATAATACAGAGGCCAGATCGTACCGGAAAGGACACGGTAACCCGCTGCTCTCATTCAACCCTTGAGCACAACATTACGTCTCTCGACCCCGTCATATTTTGGGCAACAAACGATTTGTTTGCCCTTAGAACAAAAGAAAGGTGCGAACTCCAGTCTCCTTTTTATATGAGATTAACTGTTAATAGAAAAAAAAGTAAGTGTGCCCCTTTTGTCGCTTTGTAATCGTCTTAGATATCAAACTGGTAGATGCGGAGATTAGAGGAGATCCTTTGTACTTTTTTATAATATTGTTTCACAGTTGGTGGATGTTTTGTAAAACGTTTTAGCTTTGAAAAGGTCCATTGAGGATGGAGCTACTACCTAATACGTTTAATTGTGATAAAGTTCGATGTAAGAGATACGTTTTTTGTGCGTTGCCCGCTCTTTGGTTTATGTAACCGTTGTAATGAGTGGTCAGTTTTGCTTTTGTCCTCTTGCGGATTATGTTTGCGTTCAAATTACAAGCAGATTTTTATTGTTGTTCTAATATTATGCTGATTCAATAGTTATTCAGACTTTACTTTCCTACTTTCTCCCAGTCGTATAACATGACAAAGCTCCATAGTCCTAATGACCAATGCTTATGATTCTAACGGTTGAATATTATTAGTTTCAGTCCATTCAATTTCAGTCATTAATCCTTGTTGGGACATTAATCTATCACTGCAGAATGGGGCATAAATAGTCTATAATTTCTGTACAGTTATCGTTCTATGCAAATGCAAATATGAAACAAAGCTCACATATGGATTGATTAATTAAACGCATTAGTGGACCAGTTTATTAAAAGTGCATGAAAGGTGTACGTGTCTCGCTCGGGTATGCTCGTCACTGGAACAATGGTGGAGCACCTTTTGTTCAGGGCGCATCAATCACTTCTCATTGTTTGCAGTATCTTAATAAGTTTTTGTGTTAGGCCGGTCATTTAGAAAGATTCCGGGTCCCCCAGGCCTGAATTTTAATGGGCGATTTTTGCGGGTAGATTGAGAAGTATCTTCCGTGTTGTTTTTGGAAACGATGGGCGATATTTTGGAATAAATTTTAATTAATTTGCAAGGTTCGAATGGTTTGGAGTTGAGTGATCGTTTTCCAATCAATATTGTCGGGTTTTAGAAGTGGCTGAAGTTTGTTTCTATTAAAATGTTCCAAAAGGTTTCTCTTTATTCCGTTACCGAGTCGCCAGCTCACGTCCATAACTGTTGTAAACATATTCTATTATCTACGTTGGGTATATTATAAGCATCAGTTCACTGAGTAACAAAAGTTTTAAGCTTCCTTAAGTTTTCGCGTCCAATATCGTCACAAATGACTTCATGCACAAATAATCGGTGACCATGCACAATGTGCATTGTCCTGTACATGTCAAAAATATCATCTTTATGTTCCCAGGACAGAATCGAAGGGTCAAAATAGTTGCAATATTTGTCCCTTACGCCTTAAACACGCCTCTTCGTCACAAAGACGTAGAGTCTTCGAGGGTGTTAATTTTTCGGACACCTGGTCATTGTCGGCCAACTGACCGTAAGGGTTTGTTTGGCCTACGGTCCTAGTTTCGCAAACATTGCACCGTGAGAATCGTAACGTTTTTGCTACTAATTGATTGTGGTTATAATTTATGGAACAAGATTATGGGTTGAACTGGAACGGATTTGTATTAGTTTTGGCGTGTCAGCTATTTATAGAACGTGAAAAGATTTTAATTTGGATTCTTAATGGAATAGTTTATTTCTTGGTATTGGATGATTTTTAATAATGAAATCCAAACGTAATGGCGCACAGCACACACAAATAACGTTTTATTCGGGTTTACCCACAGATTGATACAAGTTAATCGTGTCAACAATCAGTACAAACGCTTTGGACGACGAGAATAACTCAGCACACACACACCGCCTCTGTGTGCGTCATAGCCGAAAGATTATATCTCTTCTAGTGAGCATAATAACTGTGACATGTCTTACGACGCTCTCGGGCTGCGTGTAATGGCCTCTTTCTCGGAAAAACATACTCTTACCAACCAACATAAAGATACAATCGTAAAGCACGCTTTCCCACGGAACGTCGCGAAAACACCCCTAGCCCTGGACACTGGACACTGGTCAGAAGTTACAACAACAGCCAAAACATTAATTAAAAGGCGAAACATAAACCAGTTTTTGGCAAGGTGCTCGACCCTTCGATACCGGCTACGCTAATTATATTTCCGCACGTTTTATCACGCATTTGCATGAGAATCGGGGTACAACTACAATAGAAAACGCCACGCAAATCTCTTATAGTAGACGTTTTTGTACGCAGGTACGGACGGGTCGCCCGCTCAATAGTTGTTAGAAACTTGATAGGTTTTCACTATAAACATTGGCTTTACAGTGTACGGTAGTGAATATTAAATTTCACATTGCGATGAAAGGAGATTTCATCGAGTTATTGTGCCCTTAAAATAGATAGGTACTTAAATAACTCAGTCTTTATGTCGGGCTCGTGCACTTTTCCTTGTAGTGAACTCATAGAGACGCTCTTCAGAAAGTAAGCTAAGAAATCACGTGTGTAAATATTATAGTTCACAGTAATCATAACAAAATCGATTGGACGACAAAATCATTCATCGTTGAATTTACACATCGGATTTCTCAGCAGTATTAAAATTACATTTACAATGACACTGACTCCAACGGCACGCTTCCATGGAACTTTTATTAAATCTAACCCATTGAACGTGATCAAAAGGCTCCTTTAACATAAAAAGGTGGCCAAGTCCCAACAAATTCAGGTGTACAAAATCCATTTCGAACAAATCGTAAAGTCCGGAGCGAAATGGCGTCACAAAAAGGAATCAAAGTGTAAAATCATTTGTGTCGGATTAAAAAAGGAGCTAGCGAACGAGCGTGAGATGTATACCACTATCAATCAACTGGTGATTTATATTCCTCCGTATGATGTATCGCCGAGCGAGCCACACGAAATGGTAAAAGTATCCGATAATTAACTTTTTAAAATTTGACGGACGCCTTCATCTCGGCCAGGGAAATAAACCTTTTATTTTGATGTAAAAAGACTAACGAGTATTATCGCCGAATGTGGCAGAATGTGAAATTCCTTTGTCTGCTTGAGATGATCGAAAAACCAGTTACATGTGACAAACACGCTGGTATGCGGAATGTGTCTATGTTATCATTTCAAATGGCGCCAACAATAGTTTGTCATTTAATTATTCATTTATGTTCATATATAATTAATGTTACGTGTCTTTGGATGGAATTTAATTAATTGTCACAATTTTTTCATAGTTCATTTTACCTAAAATGGTGTGAAAGCTGATATTTATTTTATCAATTTGGCGATCAAAAGCGTTTGACTTGCGACCTGATATGATGATGTAAGATCTAAACTTAAACATTCTTGAATGAATATTATGATAATTCATGCGCTCTTAATTCAAGAATTTAGTGATCGAGAGGAATTCTAAGAAAAACTTAAAGATAATTAGAAAGAGAAAGATGGAAGAGGTGATGATTGTAACAATTTGGAGGTTAAACAATAAAATGAAGAAATACCAAGAGTTAAATAA